ATAGAGTATATAGAGTATATAGAGTATATAGAGTATATAGAGTATATAGAGTATATAGAGTATATAGAGTATATAGAGTATATAGAGTATATAGATCTCCTTTGCCCACCCCAAAGCAGTTGAGGCAAGGAAAAGGAGGCCAATATTGCTCTGCACAGCTGACTACAATCCGGTCACCAGGGAGGGATTTGCACAACCACCCTATATCTGTATGACTGCTGTTCTTGGCCTCTCATAGTTTTATCCCTCTGCTCCAAATTGCAGCAGAGGCCTTAAAGTTCGGGAACAAGGCCTTGTAAATCAGAAAACACTTACTCATCGAAATATTTCAAGGGCAAAACTCCCCTGTTCTTCACAATGTGAAACTCCTCTGGAATCAGGGACTCCTGTAGGCTTGCTTGCTAGGAAGAGAAGAGAGATCAGAGCCTGAAACACACTGGTATCTATAATGGGCACAAACTCTTCCATCTTCCCAAAGAGCATGCTGTTTTGGCAACCAAGAAAGGAGAAATCACGAAACAGCTTTTCACACAACTTCCGTATTTCTCTCTTTCTTCATTAAGAAYTTACCAGAAACAAACTAAATGGGAAGACGGTTTGAAATAGCAAACAAAAAAAACTGTCTTGAGGGGCTGTGAGCTTCAAGAAGCACCAATGAATTTTATCCCAGAAGTTGTTGGATTAGCAGACAAAGGCAGCCACAACCCAGGGCGGCATCAGGAAAGGGTTATAAACACTTCTCTTTTCAGCACTACACGCAGAAAAACATCAAAGTAACAGCACTCACAGTAAGTCCTGAGACAGCCTCRCTTCTCCTTTGCTCTCGACCGCTCTCAGGAAGGGAGCTCCTGGGAGCCCCTGGTTTTGCGTCCTCTTGGACAGCCACAACGTCACACAAGTAAGAGACATCCCTGAAATGGAGGGAAGGGCTCATTCCCCTGCTCATCGCTGCTCACCAAAACCACGTGCGAGACAGCTGTGCTCAGCCTGGGGCCAGGCTTCGAGCCAGCACGTTCTCCCCGGGGCCAAGGCTGAATGGCAAGATCATGTTTTCAGGCAGATTAGGCTCACATCGTCTATTCCTGGCTGCTGCTTGTGCCCTCTCAGATACGTATCTGATGCCCATTACAGACCGCATAATATCAAAACACATTTCACTTCATAATGTTAAGCAAGGCTTATTTACAATGGAACATAGATCTATTTCCTGCAAGACTGTTAAAACCAGAAGAGCTTCTTTCCTTAACCCCGGATCACGGAGGATATCACTGCAAATCCTGGCTCTTACGGAAGCATGTGCCACGACAAGCGCAGTCAACAATACTTGATTTATGAATCCTGCGAGAAACATCTTCCTTTCCAGTCTGAACTCTGCCGGAACTGCGCTCGTGTGTCTGCGTGTTGGGCAGCACAGTCATCTGATGTGAATATGGATGGAGTAATCCCTGCATCTTCCCAACTCTGTCTTTCCATTGCCCTCATTCCTTCCACACTCACCTCCCAGCTCCTGTCAGGCTGACGGGGTGGTCTGTAAGGTGCCTGAACTTGCCACGGCGATTCGGGTAGTGCCAGAGCCCATCGGGGGGCTGCAGGCAGCCCTGGGGATGAAGCACACAAGGTCGTCACTTCCTAGCAAGACACATGCCAAGCACAGGGAGAGCATCCTCTCCAGACATAACAGCTTCTGCCTCAGCCCTAAAGGCACTAGYACCAACAGAAGGGGCTCTCCTGAGAGCCTGCATCGAGACAAGAGCGCCAGTGACCGCATTGCCCTTCTTGCGGTCGCTAGAAGACAGCGCTTGGGATCTGCAACGAGTGGCACAATGAGAGGAGTGATGTGACGAGCTAGATTTATCCTGCTCAGTTAGCAAACTTTCATTTTGTCCACGGGAAGACTATGCTCCCCTAGTGAGGGGACATTTCTAGGCAGAAAAAAGCAGTAACAGACTCACCTTGAGGCCTGTTGCATTTTTGGCCCCTTGCAGGTGCTCTGGGCTGGGGAGAGACGCAGCAGCAGAAGTCAGTGCTCGGAAAATCTCTTCTGGGACAAAACTAAGCTCCAGTGGGGAGACAGGCCTCATACGGTCGAGCATCCTCGATGCAGTCCTTGGCTCAGGAAACACTAGAAAATAGTGTTAAAGCCTMCTTGGGAGGTGCACATTTACTCAGCCGGAGAAAACAAAAGAGATCATAAAGCACAGGGCAGGGAAGAGCCCCAAGAAGACCTACTCTGTTCATACCCAAGCAGAAGCAAYTCCATCCAACACACAAACAGCTGATCCCATTGGTGGCTCTATAGTGAAGCTCAGAACAAGGGTTGTACTCAAAACCATGGGAGACCAAAGCAACTTCACCCGCCCACAAAATGCCCAGATACTATGTGAGGCCATAAAACAACAGGAATCCCTGCTGATGAGGATGTCCAGCTGCCAAGGGAGCCCYACCTGTGGAGTCCTTGCTGCCAGGAACAGCACATAAGGCACCTCTCGGTTTCCTTCCATCTGCTTTTGATGCAGACACCGGTGCTCCCATGAGGGACATGGCAGAAGGTTAGTTATTTGTATGCTGAACAAAGAAAGTRCTCGCAAACGATCTGAAAACAGAATTAAACTTGTGTTTGTACCTTGTAGGGTTCCCTAGCTTTTTTTTTTTTAATTTATTTATTATTTACTGGGTGGGGAACACCACCAAACTTGTGCCTCATGTTAGGCACGAAACAAGCCCAGAACAGCTGATGTTTTGGTTTGTGGGAAGCAATTAAATACCTCTACCAAGGGAGATGCTTTAAGAATCAGTCTTGCTCTTTACCTAATTGGACTCATAAACATTTGTTTCATAATCAAAATATAGTAAATGATTACTTAACAGTTGTTGCATGCTTCATAAATGCCTACGATTATATTGCATTAAAGCCAAGTAATGCTTCTGCAATTTATTAGTTTTGCCAAGCAAGTTTATTGTTCAAGCACTTACTCAGGCAGCCAGAAGAGCTCTGTTCATCCACCACAGGGTCACTTGTTCTTCCATTTACAAACTGCATTAAGAATTCAAGTTAATGGTTGCTTCTTTTACACATCTAATAATTCTGCTAGAGGTTTATTGTATTTGAATTCCTCCAGGTACTACTTTCACCACTTTGCCATTCTTATTAATACTTTGCTAAGGAAAGGGGTGTGGGGGGGAACACCCCACCCTCATATTCCCACTAAAATCCCCAGGAATACTCATTTAAAAGGCCTTTTYCCCCACTTTATGTTGCTCTTTACAAGGGCGCTTAGTATTGCAGAATCACAGAAGGGTTGAGGTTGAAAGGGACCCTAGAGATCATCCAGTCCAACSYCCTGCTGCAGCAGGGACASCCAGAGCAGGGGGCACCCGGTCACATCCAGGCGGGTTGGGGAGATCTCCAGAGCAGGAGCCTCCCCAGCCTCCCTGGGCAGCCTGGGCCAGGGCTCGGGCACCCTCACACCAAGCAAGTTCTTCCCCACACGCAGATGGAGCTGCCTGGGGTTCAGCTTGTCCCCATTGCCCCTTGTCCTGGCACTGGCCACCACCAAGGGAAGAAGGGGCCAAACTCTCCTACATTCACCCCTCAGTGCTTAGACACACTGATCAGGTCCCTCTCAACCTTCTCTTCTCCAGGCTCCAGCTCACTTGGTCTCTCCTCATACGATAGATGCTCCAGTCCTTTAATCATCTTTGCCACTCTCTGCTGGACCCTCTCTAGAAGCTCCACATCCCTCTTGTCCTGGGGAGCCCAGGATTGTGCCCAATGCTCCCAGTGCAGCCTCCCTGGAGCTGAGCAGAGGGGCAGGATCCCCTCCCTGACCTGCYGGCAACACTTCATTAAACAGAGGCCTGCTCATCAGATACATCCCCCACGAACTGCAGTTTCTCGTTAGGTTAACTCTGCTCTGCCTTCATGTGCACATTCGCACAACACTTATAACCATGGCATAACCTCGCCAGGAAAATGGTTTCTTGGAAAGAAAATAGAAGGATTTGCCAAGAGACCTTCTGGCAGGAGAAGGCATTTTGTTTTCCTTCCCTAACAACTCAGTTTGGCAGAACACTGCATTCCACCTAGAAAGGATGAGAAGATTAATGGGGTTGTTCTGTAGCTGTGGCAGCTTAAGGACACAGGCTAGGGCTGACTRCAGAGCATCTGCTGCACAGCTGGAAAGCACCGCATGGAGTTCCTGGCACACAAACCCCTCTTCAGGCCCAAACTAGAGGCAGAAATCATCAACCCTAAATACACTTGGCCCCTGCATCAGAGGGGGAGAGGCGAGTTCGGCTCTTGGGGCAGAGCAGCGCCTGGGCTGCCCGCGGCACCAGCRGCTCCCCGGGAGCCGTCCCACGCTCGGGGCATCACCTGCAGCTCCTCCCCAGCCCCTCTGCATTGGGGTTTCGCTCTGAARACGCCCTCAGCAGGGTCCAGAACGGGAAGGGACAGCTCAGGGTCTTGGCCAAGAGCACATGTAGCTTCAGGATGCCCTCTGTTTGCAGCTGTCATCCCCCAGAGCAGCCCACAGGCTCCCTCCTGCYGAGGGACTCATGGACCCAGCACCCCTACCAGCCCCACAGCTCTTCCACAYGGCAACGGGGACACTGAGGGCTGCACAGGGCTGGCACCCACAACCCCCAGACAAGGAGCACAACCCAGGCTTTGGAGCCTCCAAGAAGAAAAGAAGAGGCCACAGCAACTTTTCTCCCCAATAGCAAAATATATTTCAACTGCTGTAATACAGTAGATTATATRAACAGCTCTTCTGCAAGACAGAACATGGTCGAGGCTGCATACACTGACAGGGCACGGGCTGCCAGTTCCCCGGGCCCATCCATGGCCTGCAAGGGGCCGGGCTGGCTCAGAGGCTCCACAGGAGCAGCGGGGCTCCCTCCCAGGCCCTGTTCACACCAGTCTGGCCATCCCTCTGGCCCATCTACATTCAGGAGCCCAAGCAACTCAGTTTTCCTTTAAACAGATGGATGGCTTTGTGTCAGCCACATCATTCTGGGTTACAAAAAAGAAGRAAAAAACCCCACAAAACCACACACACCAGGACTGCCACCTTCCCCAGCCCATCCGTATCTGGATGGCTCTCCCAGCGCACAGCCCACTGACCAGCTTGGACGGCACAGGACTGTTTCAGTTCTGGAGACTGGGAGCCAAATATCCCGATGCAAAGGACGTACTAGGCATGAGGATGCTGTACAGATTCAGCCTTCCCGAGACGGTATCTCCATGAAAACTGGAACACGTTCCACCACGTTAATACTGTTTCCCTGGTGTTACTGAGCAAAACACTGCAGCTGTCTGGCCACCATTCCAGAGCTGGAAGCTTCTCCCACTTCCAAACTGATGAGTTACCATGGAAGCAAGGGTTGTGATGCTCGTCCTGGGAAGAATGGCAGGGAACTGCATATACTAATCGCTATTAAGAATTTGAAGATGACAGGTTGGAAGCCTCAGCATCCAAGTTATTGGTCAGAAAGCCATCGCACAGCTGGCTCTGGCTCCCACAGCCTCAGGAAACGCTTCTCAAAACAAACCTTGGTGTAAGGGACTAATTAAACAAGCAACGTGCAAAACATTATTTCCCCTCCAGAAAAATGAAAACAAGCTCACATTAGAAGGCAATTWAAAAAAATCCAACAAGTTGAAAATAATCCCAAGCATTAATGCCTTAACAGAAGAGTCGCTAGATACCTTGATCTACAAGGCTACAAATCTGCCCCCATCAAAACCAGGCAAGTTCCAACAGCCGAGCACCCCTTCTGGTTGTGTTTTGCTTGCCAGCCACTCGAGCCCTTTGGCTCCTCACGCTGAGGGTGCTGACACAAGACAAGCTGAGCCCCCTCTTCAGGGACATGGCACAGGGCCAGCTGTGAGGGAAACACCCTACTCGGCACAAAGTGCCATGATTTTGTCTCCTGTTGCGAGCACCGAGATAGTAGCAAGACCTGACACAGGCATCAAGAAAGACTCAAGTACCCGATCCATGACATAGACACCCTATCTGAGGGCAACTGCAGCTGTACGTAGTTGTTCTGAGCACCATGACTCAAAGACTGGATTTGCACCCACTCTGTGTTAAGCAGGTGACAAAACTGTTTGGCCACAAAGAGTGTGAAGGTTGGTTTTRTAAAGGAAGTTTGAGCTGAGAGAGACTCCTTAATCGGTCTAGAAACTCCCTCAAAGGTGACCTGAAAAAAATAGTATTATTTAAACTGAATGAGGAAGAAGTAATCCATGGCTTTCTCAGGATTTTATATACTAATACTGCTCGGCTTGAGCATATTCACAAACTCCCCCTGAAGTTAACAGAACTGTTTCGGCAAAGAAAGAAGTTCTAGCAGGAGTTTTTCTTTGTTGTTGTTTTTCCTTTGCAGAGAACCACATATGCAAAGCCTAGATTTGGCAGATTTAACTGACACAATGAATGTCCTTCCAGAGGAGCAGAATTTTTCCACAGAAACTGAAAAACGAGGAGTTCAAGTAACACCTAGATTTTGTGAACTCGGGTTAATAAAAAATAGTAGCCTAAAGAGTCTTAACTGGACTGAAACACAAGTTCAGCAACCATTGACACTTCAGTGTCACAGGTAAGGTTACTGAAAAATGCCAGTAGAGAACATTCAAGTAGTGAAGAAAAATCTTTTGATCAAAGTTAGGGTATCTCTAACCAAGTTCATCTCCCCCTTCAGTAATGGGAGCTGTGTTTGTAATAGAACTGGAGATCCATGTACTTGAGTAGTATTTATCATGTTGCTCTGTCAAACTAAGCTCCAAAGGGAAAGGACTCTGCCTGACAGATCARGAAACTGCTGTTGCAAAATAAATACTGACAAATTCATACATATTTTTCGCCATAAAAGTCGGTATGGGACTGCGAAAGGATGAGACAGTGTCTAGGAAACCAATCTTCACTTGAAATCCTCCCTGGTGCCAGAGCAGACACAGATGAGAGGAAGAGTAGCTCTGACTCCAACTGCTTCTTGTCCATTGATGGGCAGTTAGAAGCTGTTAAGATATGTTGGCAGGAGGCACCAAAACCTGCTGGCACTGGGTTTGATGTACACAGTTCAAATGAGAGAGCACTAAGTACCTGTAAAGCTCAATTTTTTTTACAGTAGGGTCACAACATTTCAAAGCTTTCTCACCAAAGAAAGCCTAACAAATTGTATACCTTAAAGCACCTGCCTAATTAAAGCAAAAGTTCTTTAACTTGTAAAACATATTACGAGAACCGACCACCGTGAGCAATAGTAACTGAGGAAAAAAAGGAAAAATGAAACAAGGGAAAAACAAAACAAGTCACAAGGCCTTCAGAGCACAGAGATGCTACGGACGCAAGTTGGCTGCAAATTTAAATGCAGAAATTGGGCTTACTTAAGAAAACCAAGACTTTCAGCATAAAAAAATGAGGGCTTAAACTGCCACCACCGTGCCTTGCTTCTGAGTGTAGCAAACCTTGGTAAAGCAAGAACCGACTCTCCCATGCAATCACGAGGCAGCCGACAATCCCTCTTCCTCTATCCATTTTAAATCTCCGAACAGCTGGCAAAAGTAGAGTGCATTTCTCAAAGCTCTCCAGGAATACTTTGGCTAGTTTCATAGCAAAGACGCAAATAACCTGTTGCTCTGCCACTTGTCAGTGCTGCAGCAACAAGTAGSGTCACAAAGAACTTGAGTTTTGCAGACACATCCCATTACCAAAAGGGAMAGTAACTGCAAAGGGATGGGAGATGGGCAGAGGCCAATAGGGAGCTACTAACAAGTCTGATCTATTGTCCAGAAGGAGCAGCAATTCGGAGGACTCGTGGATGAGCAAGATTCCAGTAGACTCCACCTTCAGCTCTGTTTTTACTGGTGTCAAAATGGCTCAAGGTGGGACAGTGTGCACCAAATGCTGCCTGTGAAGCCTCTCACAATCCAGTTCACCTGGGTCACCTCAGTAAAGTTACAAAAAACAGACAAAAGAAAATATTACAGTTTCTCCCCAAAAGCCAGGAGGCATAACTTCCTTTGTGAAAGTCCGTAGCGAGCTGGTTAAGTGGTCCAAACGGTTGGAGGACAAGTCTGATCTTCTGTGGTGATGCAGCCAGAGGTATCTGCTTTTACATCTGTACATGACACGACCACGAGCGCGGCTTTAAGTAGTCCAGGAATGTGGGCTGGAAAATAGGGACAGGTAATGTGTCAGTCCTAGGCAAACAGCAGCAGCTGAAGAAAATCTGTTCGGTCCCCCGGCAGGGGAGAYGAGACATTCGCACCCTGCAGCCCAGCTCTGCCTCCACTCAGAGATATGGAAGTGGCTACAGTCATAACAGGTTGTTCACCCATCCTCCCTCTCAGCCCAGCTGCGACACCAGTCGAACGCTGTGTCCTGTAGCACGTGGTGTCAGGAAGCGGTCCCTTTCACAACTGTGAACTCAAAGCAAGGCAAACTCAAAACCAAGTTTAGTTTTCCAGGAAACACTCTAGGGCAAGACTGAGGTCAACCGGCATAGCAGAATTTTTTTTATTATTGTTTTTTTAATAGGAAACTGGATATCAGAAGTGAGTTATATTTTGTCCACTTGATTTTAGAGCTGGACCCTTACTTTTTCTGCTTTTTAAGCAACCAACTCACTGCCATCCACACCAGAGACTRGCAAGGGCTCTGTTTTTAGGTTCAGTTTTTGTGGGCACCTTAGAAGAGTTTCTCCTGACCTTGTTGACCAAATGCTACTGCTCCATTCACACAGCCTGAATGGCCTAATGTGCTCTCAAGCAGTAACTTATGCCCTCCCAGATGATGTGGGAAAAAAAGTTTCAAGTACAATATGGCACTAGGCACAGAAAGAGCACTAGTGAAAGCAATTCTATTAGACAAAGCCTTCCTAGAGTCTCTACAGCTCCTGCAGTGAATGCATTTAATGAACTGATCCTGTATATTGTCAGAAAGGCTCATGCCATTTAACTCCTGCCCTGTTCCCGTGGCAAGGAGGAACAAGCTACGTGCACGGTCAGTTATTGCATGAGGAAGGCTGGTCACTCACATTTTCCAGAGGGCAGTACTGGCGGGCATACCACTCCTGGCTGTAGAGGCAAATGATGACACCTTGGCCCAGGAAAAGGGACGTCCACATAATCACATTCCAGATAGGCCCTTTCCGCCTATCATTAAGGATGAAGTTGAAGACCACTGGAAAAAGGTGAAATGAAAGGCAATATTCATAAGAAAACGTCAAGATTAAGGAGTCAAAGTTTCACTGGCTCTACTGCATATCCCCTTTCCTCCCCATTATATCTCTGCCCTGAGCAACCCACGGCTGTTCCAGTCACTGCAGCACACACACAAACCCATCTATACCTAGCGTTATAGCAAAACCTATGAGTTGATCTAATGCTACGAAAACCCAGCCTGCCAAAGAAGCTGGCACAGCTCTTGCTTGGGATCAGTATTGCTTATGCTAGGCAGGGGACCAAAACATGCTGACAGAGATGCCCTAGGGCTCCAGCCTAATTCTTCCTATTTCAGAACCCAAAAGAAAACATCCAAAGTCCTAACTTGTAAAAAACAGGCCCTTCTCCTTGATATAAGAGTTAAGTAATAATTTGTCTCTTGCTGCAGCTTTGAGGAAGACCACTTCCAGTCTGCTGACATGTATCAGTTTAAGGCTTTGCAAAGAAGAATTAGTACTATTAACAAACGTAYATCAGTATATCATATATAGCCTTCTCCTGCTCACCATTGATGCCTTGCTTGTCCCCAAGACCCAAGTTTGCAAACCCAGTCTGTAGGTGCTGAGCTAATTAGCTGCACAAATCCATCTGGAAGGTCCAGGCCCACAGCTGTGGGCTCCTGGATAAGGAACAGTGCTGTGATTCAAGAGCAGGTTGTTAATGGGACCAGTAGTCTCTTACATGCTATCAAAAGGGCAAAACTTATCTGAGAACCATGCTCATCACCAGCTCCCCAAATCTACAACACTCACATGCTCTCTCAGGAACTTACTTCCAAAGCACATGAAGAGGCAGAAGAGAACTGGATAGAAGAAGCCGAAGCAGATAATCAGGACATACTCATGCACGGCAGCTGAGACAGTGAAGACTGACAACATAGCTGCTGCTTTGAACTTCTTACCAAAAAACTGAAAGAGAGATTACAACGATGGATAAGCTRTGCCACTGTGTTTTCAGCCTGTTCGTTTCAGAGTCATTTGCCTGAGCTAAAAAGGATTTGCTCCAACCRAAACACCTGAAGCATTGTGTGCTTTCAGCCCGTGGTAGATTTTAAGCATTCATCTTCATGCATCTTTCTGCTTTGCTGCATTTATACTCACCTCGGCTCCACTCATGAGGTATCTATCAGAGTTTATCAAAAGACAGAAAAGGAGGTAAGACTTGTGCCAAGTAGAGGGGGTTCCAGATCTCCATTTTACACACACACACACACACACACACACAGGACTTGATTCTGAACAACAGATGCTCCAAGAGAGCTACTCACATGAGCAAAGTTGAATCAGCTATGGACTTTACAGACAGCAACGCTCTTTTTTTTGGCAAGTGTACTGTATTGCTCAATAATTAAATGTTTATGTAACCTTTGCTTAACCTGGAATATCATATGCTGGAAGGTAAGGCTTATAGGATACTACATAGTAGCAGCTTGAGACCAGAAAATATTTCAGACATACAAGTCCTTATTCACTTGCCACTGTCTAAACTTATCCAGCTAGYGAAGCTTGCTGGTGAAGCTTGAGAYGAGAAGCTGCAAGTTTTTAACACCACTAAAGAAACTGCTTTTTCCTGCTGCTCAAACAARAGATACTGTTAGATATTTCTTAGTACCAAACAGGTTTCTAGAAACAATCTGTGACAGTATCACTTCCCCCACCACCTTGAATCAGAAAGATTAAAAAAAGGCAAGTTAGATCTGCGCTTTGTTAGGTGTAAGTCACTGCAGAACACCACCAGCTCACAACCACTGCAAGACACAGAAAACAACAGCTACAAGTTATTCATTTTAATTCCTCTGCTTGCAAATTCTCTATCCCTCCCAACACTTTTTCAGACAAGCTTCTTTTGGGGGGGGGACCAGGGGAGAAGAAGAGGAAGGAAAAATGCCTTGCYGTTTATGGAAGAGGTTTACGGAAAAGACTTGCTTGCTACTCACCCAAAGGAAGTCTCTGTAAGCATAGTAGTAGAGCCAGTCATGTACCACTACATTCCAGGTTCGATAGTAGTTTGCATAGGAAGTGGAGTTCCACCAGTCCTGAAAGCATTTAAAAGAACCAATCTAAACAAGCATAACTCCTGTTTTTATCTTCTTTCAGCGATACATTGATTCAAGTAACACCAACAGAAATGGCACCATAAAAYAGTGTGTACCATTACTCAGAACTAAATATAGTTTTAAGTGCAAAACATTGCATCTCAGAATGCACTGGCTGATATGCCAAAAGAGTACTAAACATATGTTAAGGTCTGGTGTCTGCTTCTGTTCATGAACAGGTTATATTACTGTAGGGAAAAAAAAAWTTWAAAAATCAGACTAAATAGGTCTGTCCTCTTCTACAGGGTAGAGCAGGGTAGCAACAAATTTAAACCCAAAGACAACAAAACAAGCAAAGACTGTGGATGCTCCATTTATTTAAATCAYCCAGTTTCCTTCTCTTTCCATTTGAGAAAAGAATTCTAGAAGCTTTATAAAACTTCACCTATTGAGAGAATGAAAAGCTGTCTCTAATGACAGTCTGTAGCTTGTGCATCTTACCTTATAGAACATCCTATCTGCAAAGCGCAGCATCTCAGCAAATGCATTAAGCCAACAGTGAAGGAATGCAAAGAAAACCAGGAAAAGGATCAGGACACCTGGAAACATGCAGTGTCATAATGATTACTCTTTTTTTTTTTGCTCAGGTATAATCAGGAATATGTAACAGTCAAGACTAGTCTTAGACACACTAAAATGGGAACTTTATGCTACTGATGCAAAAAAGCCAATGTATTTGAATTTTTGACCACACTGAGTCCCTCTTACACCAAGAAGCAATTGCAAGGCTGCCACAGAGCCTAGAAATTGCCTCTGAAAGGCTTAATTTCAAACCCAACTTGTCATTTTGTGCTGTTCCTTCTAAAGTTTATCACCACAACACCAAAGCCTCCCCACAAAACTGCTAAGCTCAGCCTACTACTTCCCTCAAAAGGATTCCCCTTCTGCTTCTGCAGGGCACAAAGTGCTGTTGTCTTATGTGTCTAATACAAAACACTCCTCTCCCCTTCCTTCTGCAATTGCAGAGTGACCCTTACCTGGCAGAATAGAATTGAAGATGCAGAGAACCAGGCCTCGAAGATTAAACGTTTCTTGACTGCTGTTGCGGAACTGAGGAATGCAGAGTCTCACAAAGATGTAGTAGGCATAGAAAAGTGAACCAAGMACCTGGAAGAAAACAACTTAGCTCCACAAGAGAAACACACAATTAACACACACACTACAACTCCAGGAGAAGGGCAGCAGCTGCCAGCACAAGTATCTTATTTTACATTGCTACCTATCAAGCTTCCTAAGGGTTCCGACAAAGTAAGCCATAATCACCTCTACAGCACTTTGACAGCTAAAAAGCAGTGTAAACTACACACTACTTTGGGTGCTATTCACGTAAGTTATGATGCAAAAGATTTGCCAGTGTAAGTGTGGAAGGTACATTGTGAGCTAGGTCTGAAACAAAAGTGATTGAAAAATAAGTGTGGTTCAGTTTAGTATTAAATCATATTTACAGGTCAAGCCACCTCACAGCTTACCTGGCTCATGAACTCAGCCTCCAGAAGCAGAGCTCAAAGTACAAGTCACTGCTTTAAAGCGATCTGACTGCAAATGGCAAAAAGTCTTTTCATGCTTTGGGTAATTTGTTTTTAAATACATATGTATCATGCAAAAATGAAGGCTGTGACCACCTCCTCAAAATTCAAACAAAGTCATTATGTGGAAGTACATCTGCAAGAAGCCATTGAAGCTCATGTCCAGACAGGCTCTTTTGACCCTGAAGTAAAGATCTGGTCAGACTTGAGCTCAATAATTACCAAAATCTTCATTTCATAATTGGTCTTAACATCTGGAAAAAGTGAAAATGCAGTGCAACGGTGGTCAGTCAGCAGTCAGGTGGTCAGTCGGCATGGACACTGCTCCCTCTCGTTTCCCAAAATGCAGTTGTAGTTTGTATGGAATGGCACTGACTTAAAGTTACTGGAAAGGCTCAGTTAAACACGTGTTTTTTTAGACTCAAGATGATCCTCTCTGTTTTTAATAACTAAAAGGTATTCTTCTCTAATAAGCCCCAGACCAAGTAAAAAGCAGTTCAGTGCTAAAGGCATAACCATTTAGCAACAGTTTGGATGATTTCTTAAAATGCATTAGTCAACTGCATTACTCACCTGTGCAAACTTGGTAGCTACATACCCCCATCTTATTGTGGGATTCCTAGGAATAAAAATGCACAATGTCACATCTAAACAATCTCAGAGCAGCAAAAGCCTCCCTTTAGTTACCAATTTTAAAACCCTGTACCCTAAAGAAACCATTTTAGGAATTCASAGGTTCTTAATCTGTTAACATCTTACAAGACAACTGCCCAAATCACTCGTTCCTTCCTTYCAACTAGAGCAACACAACTTGGACAATCCCATAAACTGGAAGGTATCTTGAGAGCAGCATTTGCAATTACGTAGGAGGTGGTTATCCACCCAGCAGTTGCACAGGATCGCTGACTTCACACTGTCAAAGCGCAACAAAACTGTCCAGGAGCACCTGGTTTTAGATGAGTCAGCCTACCTCCTCAAACTCATAAGACAGGCTGCTTACCAGCGTCACCTGAAACTCAAGTGCAACCCCTCTACAAGCTGCCTGCACTGCTCCAGCAACGCAGTAGAGAGCTCATACAGGTGCACTTCCCAGGGAGGAAAAGCCACAACTGGAGAGTCAGAATATTCCTAGTGGTAGAGGGAGTTTGTATGACTGAGTTCTACAGAGACACTTGTCTCATCCTTGCCAAGGTAAGGACTCAACCAGATCTACCCGAAAGCTGCAACTCATAAATGGAATAGATCACATCCAGGGATGCTTAATGCTAGCTTYAGTTTTATAGTTTGCTTTAATGTATTATTGATGTTGCTCATATTACCTGGGATAGCTGTCTCTATAGATGAGGGTGGGAGCAAAGAGAAAGTACAGGTACTGAGTAATTCGGGGCACAGGTACAGGGCCTGGAAGAAAGGGGAAAAATGCAATACTCAAACTGTGCACTGAAGGGTCAGTCGCTGCAATCCTCTTTTATAACCTACTACCCATTTCACTTCAAAAAAGTCAGTCTGGAATGAGATGCGTGAGATATGCAGAGAAAATTGAGCAAGTTAAGCTTACCTAGGAGAATTAGTCCCAAGAAACGGTTTAAAAGTTAACAGCAGTAAGCTAACACCTTGACATATTTTCTCCCCACCTAGGAAAGATGGCCAGTTGGACTCTATGATCTTAAAGGTCTTTTCCATATCAACGTGGGGGTTCATGCTCCGCTCTGACATGCCTTGCTGAAAGAGTCTATGGTTCAAGAACTGTTGGCATTTCAACTAGGGTACTGAAGTAGGTGGCAGGAAGGCAGCCTCTGCCTTTTCTGCAGACAAGAGCAAGCAAAGGCAAGTCCTGYTGAAGCAAGATCTAAGATCAATAGCTTAGTCCCCAAACAGAATTGTCTAAGGCCAAATTGTATAAATACTGGATCAAAAGATTTGGGCTGAAAATCATCATGCAAAGTTCTGGCCTGGAGCCTCCTCAGCTCCCCAGTCAAGTCACCTACCCAAACATCACTTGTCTCCTGTTCACGTGGCTAGCTCAGAGCAGAGGAGGGGATGCAGGAGCCCTTTGCACGCAGCTGTCAGAAGCAGCGCAGCAAGTTACTCACCCGCCTTCTCCTTCACAGACGACAGGACCTTCGGAACGTTCTCTCGGACGAAGGAATGAGCCTTCATAACAAGGCGGACCTGTACAATCGAGATAGAGACTGCATTTCAGAACAACCCATTTGCCATGCTGGTGTCTTGCCAATTTACCCCTTCCAAAACAAAAGGCTGATTCCTCTGGCCACAAGTCTATTTAACTGACATGAATCAGAGCAGTGCAAATTGGGAATGCAGTAGTAGTCATGACTCAGAAAAACCAAGTATTTCATTTACACTTACAGGATTACAGCCAATGCAAGGAAACCAAAACAGCTCAAGAAATTATTAGCAAGTCAGCATATATCTAAAATTGAAACACAGAAATTTATCCATTTCAGTAGCCCAGTATGTTTTCAAATCCTGAAAGTGAGCTCAGCTCTTTGTGAGGATCTGTCTTATGGACACATTGCAGACTGCTGGTTCTTGGCAAGAGGAGAGAAAACAGGAACCCCTTGCTACCTATGTTTTTCTTTTGTTTTTRGAAGAATGTTGCAGCTTCCTTTAAACTACGGCACAAGGGGTTCTTAAGCTTAAGTGCTTAGCATCCTCAAGACAGAAATAAATGCTTCAGCCTTGCAGTGTGTTCAAAAAAATAAGAAAGTGCTTGAATAGGGTAAAAAGAGGAGTTTCTGGGCCAAAGTAAAGGTTACTATTTACTCTCTCATTAGACCTCTCAGAAGTCACCTCAGAGCTCAACTTCATCTAGAGTTCTCGCTTGATTTTATGAATATGAAAAAAAAATCCGCCCTTTCGGAAAYGGGAACCTTCCCATTTGCATACGCTGAAGACCTCTTTCAAAGACACAAAGCAGCAACCCACCTGTTCCAGGATTACAATAAACCGGGAAGCTGGAGGCAGGGCATACGCTATAGCGACATAGGTTGATCCAAGCCCGAGCCCAACCGTCTGGAAGAGTGTGAACAGCGTTCCGTAGAAGATGGAGTGGATAACACGGTGGGAGGAACTGCTGTAGCCCTGGGCCCATCGGGAGAAGAGGCCGTATGGAACCACGACCGCAGCAGAGAACATGCAGAGCCAAGTACAGAAGACAACCGGAAGCTTTCCAAAAACAAAGACCAAAAGATCAAATCCCAGGACCAGCCTAGAAGGCACACACAAAAAGAAAATATTCAGTGTCCATTGTTTCATTAAAACACAATTCTATTTAACTTAATGGCAACAGAAGGCTAACTTCCCCAGCGATAGTGGTTTGACAGCTCTGTGAGAAGCCCCTGGGGCAGTTTCAGCTCTGAAGCAGAGGGCTGTCTGCTGCAGACTTAAGCGACCAACAGGAAGGACATCAGAAGACAGAAGATAAAAGACTCAAGTCATCAGTGCGGTGAGCACAGCTTATCTTCAAATTCCACAGGGCTTAAGCACAYTAAGACCAGTATATGCTTTAAGACTGTGCTCAAGCTCATCCCTGTTAAGGAGCAGCATGTGACTAAACCCACTGCTGAATCACAGTCCAAAAGAGCTTCTGGGGACACTTGCAGATGCTCACTCCAAAGATGTGGACACTAGATACTTCATTCATTAATCAAAATTCAAGAAGGACCAGCCAAAGTCAGAGCTTATTTTTATGTATAAGCAGCTCGTCTCACTCAAGCTCGAGTGGAAGCAGAACAGAGCAGCTTTCTTCCTCCTCCATAATCACAAAGAACTCACCCCTATTAGCAGATTATATAGGGCTAAATACCTGATTTCCTAATGCCCATATTACTATTAAATTACAATTCACTATGCAATATTCAGTACTGCATGAGCCAGTTTTAATACATGGACAAAAGGAACGATTATAATCGGTGGATAAAGCTACAGTTTGTCTTGAAGATAAGATAAATCAAGAAGATAAATGTGTAATCCAACTTGGATACAGCTGATACAGCTTGCAAAAAAAACACTATTTAAAGTAACAAGCAAGCGTGAGGAAAGCAGTCTTTCACAGTATTGTTCAGAACTGTATACCTGCAGAGAACAATATCCTTGAGGGTTTTCACCTGAAAAAAACAGGGCTCTAAGCACAAACATTTCGCCAGAACTGCTACTTCCAGAAAGAGAAGGGACTGCCGATGTTTTAAAGTGTTTTCCTAAACMTCATTCCCCTTCAGTCAAAACAGGCAGTTGAAAGCTGTCGTTTGGCTAGCAGCACTGGCTGAACTGAAGTGGTTTGTGTTCAGGAAAAACCCCTCTCACCAGTCGGAGAACTAAACATTTGACCTAACTGCACTGGCCACAGCCCCTCAGGGAATACACATGAATGCCTTTACAAATGCTTAGCTATCAGTTTTGAAATTATCACTTCACCTCAAAAGCTATTTCAGCACATGTTGTAAACATTTCAGTCACCTTCTCCCTTTTGCAAGGGTATCCCAGGAAAACCTTTCCTCCTTCCTTCACCATTGCACAGYGTCAGGGACCGCTGCTTCTTCAGAAGCACACACTCACCCTGCCCCTTGCTTTTCCAAAAGGGATCTTACCTTCCCTCATCAATGAAGTCCACTAAAAGTGTGCTGAGGATGAAGACGATGAGAAGAGCGATGAACATGTGGTAGATGGTCCTGATGTGACTCACTTCAAAGAGTTCACTAAGGGAGAGATTCAAACGCTATCAGGGCATGGAACATCACACCTCCAGCACATTAGCTTTTCAAGCATTTCACAGCAAGGTAAGAAGATATCAGTGCCATCCCAATCCAAGAGACCAAAAGTGAATGCATAGTTCAGAAGACAGTCTTCGTGTCTAGCACTTCCTCAGTTTAGCCACAAATAAACAATATTTATCATCTAAGGGGTACCAAGGAGACAGTAATTAAGGTTTGCATTAGGAAAGCCCTGCAAATTGTAGTAGAAACGGGCTAGAAAGAAATGAAGATTAAAAATAAATTAGTCCACAGGAGTTGGAAGAGAAGGAAAAAAAGACTATTTTACCAGCAAATGCATTGCCATTAGATTTTCCACAAAAAGAAAATAAAGCTAAGCTACTTACTCCAAGAGAGATCTCCTGGCAGTAAAGATTTTGCCATGTTCTGGAGGGGCTCTCAAAGTCCTGCAAACAGGACAGGTAAACATTCAAGACAATGAAGAAAATAAAGCTCCCAGGATGTATAGCCTTGTTACAGGATGAACCTAAAACTGACTTACTTGGCTTTGTGTAGGTCCTTCTCCGAACAAGGATCTGGAAAGAGTGAAGATGAAGAATCCAGGAGTGCTGATTTTGCCACCAAGCTGTTCACAAACTCCGTGAAGTGACTGTCCACCTCCTTCATGAAAGCTGGCTTCAGTTGCTGACAGAGTAGAAACAAAATATGGTGCTTAAGTCTCCAGCATATTTTCACAAGGGATCTGTGCCAGAGCGGCACAGGACAAGGCATTCCCAAAATGCTCCCATTCGACCTGTCAACAGTTAGTGCCAACTTGGCCAAGATGAGACTCCTACTCTGGCCTGTTCACACCTCCCAGGCCAGAGTACTTTGAATAATGTTTATCTTCTCTATCAGATGCAACACAGAGGAGGAAAGTAAACATCCCGGCCTTCACYAACACCTGCAGTGGCAGGGATTTCATAAATTTTATGGTGAGGGGAGGTGGGGCGGGGGGGAAAAAAGTTAGCTCAGGAAGGGAGCCCCAGAAAACATAGTCTTAATTCATCATACCATTAGCATTAAATCCAGTAGAAATAAAATTAATAAGATTTACATAAAGATCTCGTGGGTAGAATCTACTATTTAGTCTGGAATCATGAAGGCTTGGTGCGTTGGATAAGTTCTCCAAGTGTAGTTTACCCAAGATGCACTTTAAGGCATTTCACCACTCTCAAGTTAGTTGTTTCTGTAGAGAAGGACTACATTAAGCTCTAAGAAGCTATATGCTTTGCTGCAGTATAAACTCTCTTATTCTTTATATCAACATAAGATGCCTATGTGCAAATCTCACATGAAGTATTGTTCTGAATAGGAAACTAGGAAGCATGAACTCCCTGAAGGAAAAAAAATCATTTGTGTCTAGCTTAAAGAGCCTAAAGATCCCAAGATTTGTTCTTATCTTCACTTCAGAAGATCTAGTGATTTATAGGACTTTGGAGCATTCAGTTCCTCAATGTCAAACCCTCAGATGTTTGTTTTCCCAGTACTTGACCCTGGTGACGAAACATGACTGAAAGCCRAACCTTGAGCTCCCAGACCAAAAGTCTTTCCAGAAAGCTCATCTTCAGCACAGGAGACAGTTAAGTTTCAAGAAATGACTAGAGACCCAGTAGCATGTTTTGCTGTTAGGCAAGTGTCTATTAGTGAGGATTGCCTGGCATTTTCCCAGTTTCTGCACAGATTCATCTTTAAGGCTGATAGAACAGAAGTGAGAAACCCATTTTCAGTGAGGGCAAGAAAGCAGCGGTTGGTTCAGTGCAGAAGGGATGCATTCTCAAATGGCCACACATGGCTCACGGCTCTTGTCACTGGGTGCTATAGTTCACTATTATGTTAGAGAAAGCTGGAGCTGCTGTTTTTCTTAAGGAGAGAGAGGAAWAAAGCCTAGCAAAGCAAGGAAAACTCAGACAACTAAAATCAGGAGCCTTTAGCTCCAAGCTGCAACACTGATCTGGCTCATAGAGATCCTTCCAATAACTGTTTTTAAAGAGGCTTGTTCCCATCAACTCACACTGCTTATCAGTGATAGAACTGATTTTCCAGACATGCTTACACTGATTTTTAGGTGGACATGGCTGGGGGGGGCAGTAATATGAGCACCTCTTTCAACACAAGGGATTTTAATCTCTTATTAGAATAGATGCATTCTCACAGAGCGCTACTGTGTAATATGTTGCTTGGCAATTGTCACAAGTTTAACCCTACAGGAACATAAACCACAATCTAGTACGAGACTCCCTGGAAGTAAATATGCATCACATGTGTTTCTCATGTTCCAAAGCAATCAGATACAGAGACATCTCTTAAAACAGAGGGCACAAGAGGAAATTAATATTTAACTTAAAACATTTTCCTCTATTTGGCAACTGCCAATGTAAAACAAACAATCTTCCTAAGTATGTAATGAAACAGCAACTCTTAGTATCCAGTTACTCTCAAAAATTGCTTTCCCAGGGGTAGAGTCCAATTTTTCCCTCCTGCAGAGGTGATGTGGCTTTTTYCCCCTTTATAAACAGGAGTTGGAATACTGAAGTACTATAGCCAGTAACAAAACCAGTGCTTCCTGACACAATCTCARTTTACAGCATGCACATACACTCCTTTCAAAAAAACTGACATTCCTGCTCCTTTTGGAACAAATTTCTACACCAAAAGAATTTTTACAGCAACAGCAATCCTGTCATACCCCGCTCCAGTTGAGAGCACTGAAAGAGCTTCTGGAAGGAGGCTTAAAAGTCTTCCAGACAAGGAATCAGACAAATCCACTAAGCTTCATAATTCAATTTTAAAAATAAACCAGTCATTACAGAGTCAGAGGCAACTATGAGAAGAATGCTATGCCATAAAGAGCAGAAGCTGACTAAATTGATCCAAAGTTAGAGGAAGTTAAGCCAAATATCCCTGCAGCTTACTGCTGAAAATAAAGTTCCAGTAGTTCTCCAGTATTTCACCCACTCTTTAGTTATATTTTATTGTATTTTAATCATATTTTAATTACCTCTAATTATTTCTGATGTAAATTCACCACCCACTATCTGTTACAATGGGAAGACAGGGTAATACAGGGAAATATCTCAAGGGTACAGGCCGTTGTTTTCCTTCTGACTTACAAGCATTCCTTCTCTAACGCGTGTACAGGATTGTGACATTAGATGACTTCACCTTTACCATTGAAATCTCTGCAGTAAAGTGAAGCAAGAGTGCAGGACAATTTGCCCCGAAGAAGCCGTGTGCTAAGAAACAATAGAGAACACGGAGGGAGTGGTTCACTGTAAACTAACTGCATGTAACTTGGCCAAACGTCACCTCTCCCAGGGCGGTTTGGAAAGGTCTACAAACGCCTTCTCATCTCAGCAAAGACAACAGCAGCTTAAACTCAAAACATATTCATGCTGTTTCCTTGCGGAAGGAAAACGCAGGTGTTGCTCCATGAGAAAGAGTACGACAAAAGCACAGGAAAGTCTTCTCAACGGGTAAGAAAGAGAAGCTGTAGCATACAGGCTACATGTTGCCTATTACTGAGTGGATGGCAGGACACGGTCCTTTAAATGTTAAAAGTACAAGCTGTCAATGGAAGCAGAGTGCAGGGTCAGCAGACAATCGCATTGCCAGAAGGTAGCAGCGAGGGAAGTTCAACTTTACGACAGGCCAAAGAGTTCACCCTTATCTTTGGAGTTTACTCTTTTGGTGTCAGGTAAGAGAACTGCATTTTGATATTACCTCTTTCATGCAACTGAGAAAAATGATGAGGGGATAAAGGGCAGGAGGGGAGGGGTGGGGGGGGGAAGGCAAACACTACTCTTGGTATGTTCCTGAGAAGAATTTGATCCAGGACCGGTGCCTCTCCAAAAATCATCCACCGCAAATCACCCCCCTTCTCTCCACCAGCATCCATTAGAGCATATTTACCTCAGCTTCTGCTATGAGCTGCATTTTCCTTGTTATCACATGGTCGACATCAACTCGGCCTAAGGAAGGAAAGCAAATATTTAACAGTTGTATTTTCAGTGATATGACCTGCATGACTGAAAACACAAGCAGCAGCATCTGCTAGCTTAGCCACCAGTACTTTTCAAATGCTTTTAGCTTCTGCTAAGATTCCAAAAAGTTCAAAACTAAGCTGCACGAAGTTCATAAACTCTAAGTAAATATTTGAGACTCCCCTTTAGAAGCACAGTGTTGTAAGGCAAGGAAAAGCTGATAACATGCTGGACTTTAAAGCTTTATTTTCCATCAGCAACTCTGYAAGTCTTCAAGGTCTCTAAACGTGTTCAGCCTTGAAACAGCAACTAGAACAACCCCCAGAAGGTTATATGCAAGCGTACTGATCTTTTATCAGGGTTTTATCTTTTGCACAGAGAACTAGACATAAGATTGAGTTGTCTGGAGGTCTCTGTTGTTAATAGACAAGGTGGTCAAGTTGTGGTCATCTGCACAAACAGAGTAAGTTAGCAGCTCTGAAGATAGGCAGAACAGCAAGTTGGAATAATAGCTGGTACTGAGACCTGATTACTTCCACCCTTTCCATCCACCAAAATACTAGACTTTGGTCTGTGTTCCTCAATATGCTTTAGCACTTAAGCGAACAATCACATCTAGTTATGTCATGATCGCTATCTGACTTTGTCATTACCAGTATCTCACTGATATTCAGAACTTCAAAAATTCAATCCRTCTTCTGCATGAGCAACTATACATATCTGAAGGGCCTATACACATAGAAAAACCTTATAAACATCAAGGGGAACAAGATATACAATTAAAATTGCCATTTCAGACAACCCGTGTATAAAGAACATGCTTGTCTGCAGTGATGGCACCCTATTGGAAAATCACCTGGTATTTTACTTCACAATAATGAGAACTAAAACACAGAGAAGTTGCTTGAGAGAGGTTTTGGCATTTGCCTTTTTGTCTATAAGAACTGCTACACAAACTCAAGTTGTAGACTGAAGAATGGACTAGTGGTAGCAATTCATTACTTAGCAACCTTGTACTGCAGCAATAAGCACAAGAATTACTAACACTGCTGGTTGCTAAGTATGTCTCGCTTCTACAACAGAAAATAACCTCAGCATTTAAGCTTATACTCRCCAAGTTAAAGCAGTTTGTGGAAAGTAATTCAAAAGGGGTGTAAGAGCCTGTTTGAGTCCTTTCTGCCAGTCAGCTTGTGCATTTGGCTGAAATCAAATGCTCCCTCCTCCCCTCACCAAAAGCAAGCTTTCCCATGAGCAGAACTGCCCTGTATGCATCCGCTCCCCACTTCAGAATGATGTTAATATCCTCCCATTCACATGGCAGCAAGAAGCATCATGYCCTTGTCTGTTACAACAGCACAGAGTGCTACTGAACTTGCAGCACAAAAACTTCCAAAAAATAAAAATAAGGAAGAAATGAAAAGTAGGAAGTTGCATCTTTCTCTTCTACACAGCTGCCAGTCTTTAGGGCCCTATGAAGTGTGCTGGAAGCTGTTCAATGGTGCCAAACATGGGACTTTGGGAACCGTGCTACTTTCTCTAAGCGAAATTACAAATAAATAGCTATAACTTGGAAAACATACTTCCCGCCACAACTCTCAGTGAAGCCTCAGTTACCGCCACTGCCCAGAAGATGTTCCCAGAAAACAAAAACTTTGATTTAAAAGGTTGAAAGATGGACSTAGTTTTACAGAGACCCAAAGTACATCTTTAATGGTTGCGCAAAAGAGAGATCTGACACTTATGTTGTAACTGCTTAACTGCACACAGCCTTCTTTGTTACTCCACCCACACACACACTGCACAGGTTAGAAATACACCAAGGTTTAAAAACGCTCTAAATCAAGATCTGAACATCTTTAGTACACTCATGTAACAAAGCAAGTGAAACTATTTGTAACCTTCCTTGCCTCTTGTCCAGGATGAAAAAAAGTCTCCTGAAAAGAAGAGCCATCAAACAAGTCATTCTGCYACCTAGCACTGCCCAATAAACTCACACCAACTTACCAGACAGGAAACAGAGAAGTTGCAATTCAGGCTCTTTCCGAGTCATTCATCTTCTGTTGTGCAAGGCACCACTTAAAGACCTCAAAGAGCGTTCAAGAGGGAATCATCACATGGTTTTGTTCAAAAGGAATTGTGCGTTAATAGAAATTTGAATCTGTTCTCCTTTAACACTGAAAATGAAAGCTGACTTCCTCTGTAGCATTTAGGGACCGCAGCATCATTACAAGAGTTGGATTCTGGGTTGCACAGGACAAGTAAGCACAACCCGGCATTTAAAGCAACATGACATGTGTCTTAAGAGTGCAGGAATTAATTAAAAGCTCCTAAGAAAATCTCAAGTGAAGGTTATTATGAAAAAGTAGCAAATTCCCCAGGAGACTAAAGTAGCATTTGCTTTGAAAGAGCCCTGCTGCACAGAGTTCTGGAAGCTGCAAACTGAAAGGAGTTGTGCTCCCTTCCCATCAGAAGGGGTATTGGTAGGAACTTTCAGTGATCACTTATCTTAGGTTTGCTGGAACAGATTCTCCCAAGATCTTTGACACCTCTGCACACACACCTCCCCCCCCCCAAATTCCAGAGAGCTCAAATGTCAAAAGAACAAAGGAGTAATCAAGTAAGTTTTGTTGCCTTAGAAAACCAGGCTAAAAAGAGATCACCTGAAAACTGAGCAAAGTTCTAATTGGTAAACTTTTGTGAAACTACATTTCTCAAATCATTTCACACAAACTTTTCCAGAGAGTCAAATTTCCATTTTTCAACTTACTACTGTATATGCTATGGACAAGTGACATTGGGGTGACTATAGAATGAGAGTTAGTGCTGCAGCTTGGGATCCAGCAAAAAGTTTCCATTCAATAGAGGGCTGGATAGTTTAAGGGGCTCTACAATACAAACCGTATTAGAAAGCAGTCAGAAATTTTGCTTAACCACTAAGCCTGAAACTACAGCCAAGGGCACCAACAGGACTAAGTCATTTGAATAAAGGCAGGGCTTTTATGCAATATCATGGTTTCACCTTGTAATGAGTTCAGCAACCACAGCAACAGCCTGCAGTCCAGCACTCTGAAACATTCCCTGCCCAACAACAGCTGGGCTGGGACATTTGTTAAGGAGCAGCTAGGATGAGGTGGGAAACCGCTGTGCTGTCCAAATCACTGCAGAGCATTCACAATAGAATGCCTCTCTGCAGAAAAGCCAAGTCATATGAATAAAACTACAGTTTATAGCCACATGTACCTGGAGTGGATTGGACAGGTATCCACACCAGACAAGATTGTGTCTAACAAAAAACAAAACAAACAAGAAAAACAAACAAACCACACTCTCAGTCCAGAATCACTTCCCCAATGTTAAAGATTTTCATTTCAGAATCTCATTGCAAAGTCCTAGCTATAGGCTAATGCTTTTATACTCAGTATTGCTCTATCCTGGAGGAGTTTAAAAATATTAAAAATATTATCCTTAATCTTTCTTGACTGGGCAAGTTATCATTATGAGGTTACAGCAATACTGACAGAGGGACTTCCTGTTACTGTCTGATACCTGGATTCTAAGGCTCCTCTAGCCACTGGGAACGTTATCTGAAGGACAGCTATATTAAAGACATCTAGTCTACTGCAAAAAGGGAAGCTTTGCAGTCCACTGCAATACAACACATAATAATTGGATGCTAGCAAACCTTATTTTGAGTTATGCTCACTTACTGGGCCACCCAGCAGATAGAGGCAAGTTATGACTGAATTGACTCCACTGCTCAGCAGATCTGCCTAAAGAGCACACGATCTACGCGACTGCACCGCAACCTGGCGAGGGACTTGGTCCAGGGGTCATGCCCCCAGGAACACAGAAACCAAACCGACTCTGCCCTAGCAAAAGGGAACAGCTTTCTCTAATCTGTGGAGAGCCAGCATGTCCCTAGGGTTTGTTTTATTGCCAGAATCCACTTAAGATTAAAAGTGACAACTGTTTGATCCATGTCCCTGAAATACATCCGAGAAACTCAATTCACAGAGCTTAATCCTAAATTAATTAATCCATAAAAAGTAGCTTGTACAACTCGCTTGTTGCTGCAAGTCAGACACCTACGGTAAAGCAGCTTTCTGGATTGATCCCTGCTCCAGAGCTCCTTCCTCCTACATCCCTTAGTAGGCACACACTATTCATGCCACYTCATGAACTTTTGCGCCAAGAACAACCCACAGCAACCTCTTCCTTAGAGGATAACAACTCCTTTTCAAGACAAGCTTTACTAAACAGACTTAGCCTAACAAAGATAGGCCATAAAGCTCATTAGCAGACCAGCCACCAGACTTGCAATCTTTCCTGATTTCTAGGGAAAGATGGGCAGATTCCACAGACGGAAGTTTGCTATTTTGAAAGGTCTAATCTCAGGTTTCTGTAGGAGCTCAGTTGCATATGGAAGAGCTATGTCTTCGACAATCTTATAAAAATCTCTCTCATTAGTTCCTACTGCAACCATCTCAGCTTCTCTCACCAATAAGGTATTATGATCAATACCTCATTAAGCAGAACAGTTTTAGATTCATTTACATATTTTAGGACTATTCTTATTAAGGAACCCTGACTCTCAGCAAGGGATGATCTCTGCCTMGATCACTTGTTGACTCTATGCCAAYACAAAATTAGTTATAAATATAACACTGGAGGCAATACAACAAGAAAAAAAGGCTGCTTTCAGCCAGTAGCCAGTAAGCAGCCAGTAGCTACTTTCAGCTACTTTGTGGAAGTAAAATACAAGCTAAATCAGCACAACACAAACACAAAGACAGAAAAATCCTTCTGGCAATCTCAAAGCTATGAACACTTCCACCTTAATATAAACGGGGAAGAACCTGAATACAAACTGTTCAGTCAGAGAATTTGGCAAGCAATGAAACCATTTCCATCAATGCTGATGGAGCAGGAAAAACAAACAACAAAACCCACACAAACAAAAACCCCACACATGCTATAGAAGTGTAAGAACCAGGAACCTTCTTCCAAAGCCAATGCACAGATCTAATTACACCTCCAAATTATGCTTCTAAACAGGTTCAAGTCAGCCAATACATTTTATTTTTAACAGAAAAGGGATAACTGGCCTATAGGTCTCTAAGAAATTCACATACTCTGGGAAATAAACCACTTGTCTGCTTACACAAACTCAAATTTAAAAGCAGATTCTGACCTTAATCAGAGAAGATACCACATATCAGGTGGTATATCACATTAGTGGTTTAGCTTTTCTGCAGGAAAGGATCCTTTTCTGCAGGATTCCTCTCTAATCAGGCTGGAATCTCTTGACCACACTGAACATGTCTTGTTTAAAATTCTGCATGGCATTTACTATTAAGATGCCATGGTGTAAATAAGATGTTTTGGTATATCTGGCAATATAAGCCATATACAAAGACTAAGGCCTGATGAAAAGCTATTCCCAAGTAAATGGCTAGCACAAAGGAAACCATCTCCCTGAGAAATTCTTCCACTGAGCTTTTCTTTCAGCTCAGTTGGTGTAAACTCAGTAAAAAAAATATTGTACAACATGAAGAGACCACATATTCTAGACATCAACTTTGGAAGCCTTCATTCACATTTGAGTTGCTGACCTAGCCCAACTGCACAGAGAAGTTTCTAGCCAAAGGGATGCATCTTCCTCATGTCCTRTGATATGGTCAGGCATTAGAGGCTGACTCGTGCCTCCTGCAGCATTCACACCTGCGAGCACTGTGACATTTGTACTGCTCCTATCCCTGTGCTGAGCGAAGCATCTGCAGAAACCAGGAACACTGTTAAGAAGTCTTCGTGACCTTTCTGCTCAGCTGACAGCRACTCTGAGAGGCAGAGACTCCAAGTCTCACCAGAACAGGATTTCCATCAGCTTTCCTTGGTGTCCCTTACTGCACTTTGGACTGCATTTGGACTTTGCACTTAGCTACAGACAAGCTCAGATGTGTCAGTCTAGAATGATATCCAAGTACTCATTTTTAGATGTTTTAGCCCCAACTCCAGCCTGCTCACAGTGCTGCAAATTCCTTGGCCAACTTAAGCTTTGGAAAGACGGAATCAAAAAGAGGGACACGGTAACTTGCTAGCACTTCACAAAAGTGCATGGGTCTGCCCAAACAGATACAACTGACAGATTGTGGCTCTAACACACCTGTAAGGAATTCACTATACCAAATAAGCATCGAGAGTGGTAATATTGCAGCAAAACCCAGCAGGAATACGTCTGTGGAGGAAAGCTCAGCATACACTCAAGAGCTGCTCCAGGACATTTACTTGCTCTGAACCCAAACTATCTACCTGCAATGACATTGTTGCATTTCAGAAGGATTAAAAACAAAAGGGCTTATCAAGAAGGGGAACACTCATCTGTCAAGTGGTAATTACCATAGCTATACTTATTCTTCATCCACAAGCCAGCAAGAGCTCAAATCCATGTGTAAATTAAGGTGTTTCCATAGATGATGAAAGAGAAGCCTGCCTCTAATCCCATTATATTTTGTTTTCCAATAGAGACTAACTCCTTGAACCCTAACACTTGAAAACTTCTAAAAAGAGCATTATCGGAACAGTCACATTTGACTAGCATAAACACTGTAGAATGAGATTTTAAGGTTTCAGTCACGTCAAGTGTTTTTTGCGATAGTTTTCCCTCCAAAAATTCTGTTAAAAAAATATAACTGTTCCTAAAATGTATAGCATAACTCAAGTCCAAGACTAACAGTGCCCAGAGTCCACAGGCAAAACCTAGACACCCATACAATTTCCCTACAAGTCAATGGACAGAAAGTACATGGCAGCAAACCCACAAAAACCAGCTCAAGTCATATTACCACTGATGTGGCCATAATACAAATTAATACACATGCAATTGTTTGTTCTTGTATTACACCTTGTCTGGCAGCCAAGGTCGACCAGGTTAACCYGAATCTGCTGAAGAAATGGAGCTGGTCCCCGTGGAGGTCTCCCATGGAAACCAGTCTAAGAACAAAATAACTGAAATCCAAGCATGAAGAGGCCATACCTTGGAGCTGGGAAGCACACCCTAGAGGAGATCCTGTGGCAGAGACGGAACTAATCCCAAACAAAAAATAAAAACAATAATTAAAATCTCACCGTTGCTTGCACTTGGGAGCGACCTCTCACCCTCAGGTCTCCTCTGCATTTCTTCATTCTCAGAGGTCCTGCAGGTCATAGTGGAGCCAGGCTGACGTTTTCTTACAAAGTCTTCACCCGCCATTGTTGTCTAGATGGACAAAAAAAAGGATAGGAAATTATTAATGAAGAAACTCATTTATTCTTTACACTAGTTAAGAATAGATCAACATAGCCTTCTTCAGAGTAAAGTTTTGTTTTTTTCTTTCCTTCCATTAAAAATGCAAAGCAAGGGTAGGGGGTAACAARCATAAATGCATCAGCCCTTTATGATGGATCACACTTCCTGCTTTTTCCCCCTACTGCAAACACTGAGGAGTGAAATAGCCAAGCAAACGCCTCATCATTACCACCATAAACATTCTCTTCACCAAAACTCTAATTATATAATTACAATTGCCTCTAAATCTTTGGGAAATCCTAAAGTCCCCAAAGCCCCTGCACATGCATCTGATGGCAAAATTTGTCTTCCAAGAGATCTTGCTCTGCARGGGGGAAAGGGGGAAAACACCACAGGCACATCACCTGCAAGCTCTTGTCTTGAGTCAGTCCCCTTCCTGTCAAGCCTTCAGTTTTACTAAAAAAAGCAGCTTCCTCAATAGATCCTTGTACTTTATTTGGCCAGACAATGGTCAGATTGCAAACCAAGGGGAAAAACAGGAAGAGAGAAATAGTTTTGAAGTACACCAGATTCAGGGGCAAAAGGTTACAGATGAGTACAGAACTGTCTGCAGTGAACACCTGAACCGCCAGAGTTAACCTGAAAACACAGAAGATTCTTGGTGGGAGTGTGGGGAAAGAAGGAATGTACTTATTTAAGGTCCAATTTATTCAAAACACTGGCACCAGTACTTCTGGAAGAGGGAAATGAGACTTTCATGATTACATGTTGTCTTGGCATCAGCTTCCTGTGTTTGTCCTTCTTAAAAAAAAGTCACCTCCCACCTTCCTTTGGAGCACCACAAAACACAGAAAATTTTGCAAAAATATAATTACTCGTGCCAGTTCTGCCAATAGCTATTACTACCACCCTCTTAACTAACCCTCTTGGCTTTAAATGCACCACAGTCGCCAGCACAAAAACATCAGTCCCATTCCTCTCTTCCCACCTTTACCAGACAGCCCTAAGTATGGACACTACCCCATTTTTTAAGCACCAAGAATCATATTGCCTCCCCACCTAGGGGCTTAGTACTGTAAGGAGACCCTGGACAGGGGGGCACTTCAGTCGTTCTGCTCTTACATGTGCGAGATGCCCCAAATCACATCACCCTGCAAGAGCAGCCAGGTAACAGGGGCACCTGGGCCACCAGGGAGCCTCTCCAGTGCCTCCCCATCAAAGCTACATCTCCTCGCAAGAAGGACAGAGTTTCCTTCTTCTRTCCTTGTATTCGCTGCCCTCACTGAGGGACGATAACGATACTCCTTCCTATTCAGTGTGGCTGTACAGGTGGCGGCAGGACCCGACTGAAAAAGCTAAGAGAAAGAAATCAGAAGTAAAGAAATCCAGGATGGGAGAAGGAAGAACCACACGCGGAAAGGAGCTAAAGCGATTAGGCAAGAGAGCCATGACCATAACCGAACTTTATGTAAATGCCCACTAAAACAACACCATTCAGATGCGACAAAGTCTTTTTGACCAAGATAGAAGAGTTTTGTYGGAAATCTAGGAAGACACGAACATTTTCCTCGTGCAGTTTCCATAGGAAGAAGAGGTATAACATCACAATAACTAAGCATTTCAGCACATGGGTCTTGAGAGAGCACATCAGACCTTCCCTCCAGTCCCTGCTAGCGCAGGGAGCACCAGGATGATTCCCAGGAGGAAGCCTGTCCCCACCGCTGGGGCACGCTCACCCCTCTCATCCCAGTCGGGCACTTGCTGCGCCTCAGGAACCGCAGACACCCTCTAACTGCCCAAGAGAAACCCACCGAGCTCACGGCTATTTTGACCGGCGCACAGTGCTGGCATAGAGGCGCCAGCAAACACGAGTTTTCCTCCCACGCCTTCCCAAGGGCTGCCCGTTATAACCCTGCCTTGGGGGACGGGCAGCACCTCGAAACCTCCACGTCCCAGGGGGTTTTGGCCAGGCAGCCGGGCCGCTCTCCTGGCTCCAGCGGGTCACCCTCAGTACTGCCCCAGGCCGGGGCTCCTCCCGCGGCTTCTCCCTTCGCCCTGGGGCACGGACATGAAGCTAAGGCCAGGCCAGAGCTCGCCGCGACACGCAGACCACCCAGGAAGGGGGGAAATTAAGTTAATCAATAGAGACGGACAACCCGCCCGCCCCGCCGAGCTGCTGAGGCGGCTCTGTGGCCGCTAGCGGCCCGGAGCGGCAGCCTCCCGCCGCGCTGCCCCCGTCCCGAGCGGGGCGGCGGGCCGGAGCTGCGGGCCCG